GGTTCTGAATTACCATTACATAGTATTAGGCCTTCCTATACAGGTTTAGCGTGAGGTCCAAATAACTAGCGTGAGGTCCAAATAACAATTCCCAAAATATATAATCCACTTCGGCGTAAAGAATACTAGTATACCCCGTATTAAGGAAGGAAACGTACCCGGGCTGACATCCTACATCGACAGAGATCAATACTTCTGATCATGGAACGCAAGCAACAGTACATACCTTTATAAGCAATAAGCACGGGTAGATTTCAGACAAGACATGCTCAAGCTTTACATAGTAGAAAAGTCTTAGACAATTGATCTCGAGAACCGACTGAGATGCGACCCGCAAAGACACTCGCGCTAAACCCAAAGTAGCGTACCCTGGAGTTCTAATTTAATCCCCACGAGGAATGTGGAAGTCAATTTAGGTTTTCATCACTAATTATGTTCGTTATCAATAGAAATATGAATTAACTATGCCCACTACTACTCCGGACGTAGTAGTACTTGTATGACCTTGAGGGGTGCGTGGTACCCTTTACGGTACAGTACGGTATTCTGGTCCCACCCAATCTAGTTTGAGATTCTTTTAAGGAGAGTCCAAAGTTAATGTCACTCTGAGTATAGAAATGCCTCAATTCCCACCCCCACGAGGTAGAAGATATTTATCAGTGTGATGAAAACTACCAGATAATCATCTCTAGCAGTTGCTAGTTTCAATTGTCACATTGTCACTGAGACCAGGTGAGAATAGTGTTGCTCACAATGTCTTTCGAATCTGAATCACATTCACAAGAGATAATACCTTGATAGGAGTACTTGGGTCGTCCTTCGGAGAAGTACCTCTAGAGGTGGGACGGTCTCTATCAAAAAGGTTGATGGGCCGCGCTAAGAAACATGACAGAATATTACATCCAAGAATAATCTCCGGTTACCGGCTAACCCTCAGACAACCCATACGCCATTGTGCAGCGGCTTCTCTGGGATGATGCCTTTTCATAGGACTGCTGAGCCGGAGGATGATTTCGTCTATTTCCAATTAGGCATATCAGCAGACTGATGAAATTATAACCCGCCCTAATATTGAGAACTTATTATTGCAGCTGTCGTTAATTAATTCTCTTGTTCTTCTGTAGGTATGGCACAGTGGCTTCACTCGGTACAGTAACTGTACTGATCGATACCGAGTTTGGATGGATACCTACAAGTGGAACGGTCCCAGGGGACACCGAGTATTTGCCTTATAAATCTGATCGTGAGATATGAGGAACTAAAGAGGGTGTTTCAGTACTCCAGGGTGGTCCTACCTACACTGAAGGAGTATTAAGTGACTTTAAACCAACTTATGAATTACTTTTCCTTTCCCGGAGTAGGGAGAGGAGAATAGCAGGTGACCAGACGGGTTAAGGAGAGATGGTGAGTGTTCACAATAAAAATTACCAAAAAAAAAAAAAAATGGGGACCGGGAAGAAGCGATTCAACAAGCCGAGTCTCCATCACCAACCAGAATAAGCAAAATCCATCCGATGCCCACCCTAGTCTTTTTATTGTTAATAATAATTTTGTGTTTCTCGGGACTGGTGGATTGATTGTGTGTTGTGGTGTGGACGAGAAAGTGTGTTTGTGTGTGCTTCTCTCCCAAGGTGTGTGGTAATTTTTGTTCCTATTTGCCTTTTAATTTCCAATCTTTTTGAATTCATTTTCCTTTTTTTTCAAAGGGCGATACCTATTTTTCCTTTTCGAGTCTGGAGCGTGCCCAAACTCAGTATTACTGTACAGTAATTCGAAAAACAATCTCTATCTTTCCTTATCCCCCGGTCAAAGAAAAAAAAAAAAAAAGAGAGAGAGAGAGACAGAGAGACCGAAATAATCACGCTTTTTCGTTTCTTTCCTTTTCTCCCCCTCTTTCTTGTCCCCTCACGGCCCCAGTCCAGTCCAGTCCAATTCAAGTCCAAGTTTCTCTCTTTGGCTTGTCGCACCTGCTCTGTTACCCGACCACTTCCTCCTTTACCTTCTCTCGTCTTCCTTCCCTCTTACCCTCCCCTCCCCCGGTCTACTCTTCCCTTTTCACACCTTCTCAGTCCCTTTGATTTCCCCACGCCAGACTCTTCGTCTGTCGTGCCTCTAGGGTGAGAAGTCGCTGTCTATTGCTACCATTCTGCCTCGTTCACTCGTGGTAGAGCCGTCCGGACTTTTTGTTGGGAGGACAATCACTCCTTTTTTGTAAGTCCACTCCCCTACCGAACAACGCATTGGCATTTTGGGCTGCGCATGTCAACGTCCCAGAAGATTTCCTTTTTTTTTTCTTTAAAAAAAATAATTAAATAAAAAGAAAAACAAAAAAAAGACCCCTTGCTATTCTACTTGAAAACAGACGCTACCTTTCCCCCTGATTTGATTGCAGTCGGTGTGTTCCAAATGGTTCCGCCTGTGTTCGCTGTCGGTCGAGAGAAGCCAAGAAATTATAAAAAAAAGTTTCTGATACGGAGTGCTTGAAGAAACATTCCGCATCCTAAAATCAGTCCGACTAATGTCATCGTTGGTCGCCGTGCGCCTTCTCTCTCTATCTCTCGCACAACAGGTTTATCCATTTGGAACCACCGCTTCAATCCGCGATATCTTGTCATTCATCTACATGTTGTCTTAATTTGGCCCGGGAGCTTACGCTTACCCTCACTTTACAACAGTCCCCTGACCAGCTCCGAGCGGATCATCAACCTTCGCCGCCTCCGTTCCGTTGGTCGTCGCGATTTTTGTCGGTGAATATGTCTTACTACGAACCTCAAGGCTGGCAGGCGCCCGCTGCGCGCCAGGTATCTTGGGAGCAACCTGTTCCCCCGTCGCGTTCAGGTATGGTTTGATCATAAGCCTCGGCGATGATGCTCTTGCCCTACACAGTGAAGCTAATGCTCCGACTTCCAGGATCGAGCTCTGTCTCTCAACGCGACGAAGTTCCTGCCTTTTCCTCTCAGTTTGACGGTATGACCGTGTCTTCCCCATTCTGTCATATGCTCCAACGTTGGCTTGAGAAGTACAATCTGCGAAATACCGGCTATTAGTGGTTTTGGTCGGGTTTTCTGATGTGGTCGCCTATCACGTCATGCTGATTACAGTGGATTGTTATCGGCACTCCGTATCGCCGAAGAAACAGAGTCGAACAATTGCTGACTCCTTTTCCCTAGAGGTGGATCGTGCTATCGACAACCTTGTCAAGAGCGGAAAATTGTGGTCTGCTCCCCGGAGGGACTCGATGCCCATGATGATGGGCCGTCCATTTCCCGACTACGGTATGAAACCTTAGACTGCTTTATTGCCACCAATCGATATCTAAACATGGTTGCAGATCCCCGTGTGTCCAATAATATGTCCCAGCGTCACCACTCGATTAGCGACTTCGACGGAGCCAGGATGCACCCGAACCCCAACCTTCAGGGGTTCTATGCCTCCCAGCGTTTTCAGGGACGCCCAAATGAAGTAGAGCACATGATGCAAGCAAAGCGTCGGATGGCGGCACAGCGTGAAAGGGAGCTCCGCAACTATCACCAGGAGCAACAGTACAACCGAAGTACGTGGTAGCATTTGTCTTTGGAGCTTTTTTTTCCTCTTTTTTTTTGGCTTCTTTCTCCAATATTCCCCATGACTTCTTCCTTTGCCCACATGTATCGGTTGCATTGTATAATACATTGGGACGTGGTTCCTTTCTTGAACATGAGTTTTAATATTCCTCTCTTTTCTCAAAGGCCTGCTTGCCGAAATGTCTGGAAACAAGTCCGATCGTTCGCTCAGTCCGGCCGCCATGAGCGAAGAAAGCCGTCGAGACCTCCTAGCTCGCCAGCATAGGGCTTTGTACGGCAACGAAAGCCCCGCCTTCTTCCCGCCTGGCAGTTTTGGAGATGACAACCCACGATCGGAGAGCCAGGGGGGTGGAACCCCAACATCTGCCACTGGTGTCCGTGGCCCATCTCCGCGCGGTGTTGATCCTTTCGGCATGGCCCAGACCCCAGTCCAAGGTAGCACTGATAACATTGCTCAAGCCGGCGCGTCTCTTCAATCTCCTTCCCGCGCAACCAGTACGTCCTCGCCGAGCTCGGGCATTAACCCTGTCTTCGGCAAGTATGACAACGCCGAGCAACCGATGACCTCGACCTCCTCCCCCGGGAGAGCTGACTCGCCTTCCGCGAGGCAGGTGCATTCGAAGCCAACCAGCGGTCCCATTGGCTCCGTCGGCCCTATCGGATCTCGCCCGGTCCAGCCGGCGGGTCAAGCTCAGGCTGCCAACCCGGCACTGAACAAACGCTCCACGACACCCCTGCCGTCTCCTCTTGGTTTCGGCTTCACACCCAGTGACGCAGGCGCAACCAATGATCGTTCGGCCTCGTCGGCCTCGAACCCTTCCACCTCCGCCTCTGCGGGAACACCTGGTGTGAAAGAGTCTACTGGTGGTGTGGCGCTCGGATGGGGTAATGGCGGCGGCGTTTGGGGATCGAAGAACGGACTGGGCGTCCAAGCTTCCGTCTGGGGTTGATTTACGAACCAAATGATTTGGCTCCGATTGACGCTTACTTCATCATTCAATATGCGTTCGCTTCTATGTCGTGGCGTTATAAGAGAGGGTTCTATTTATGATTCAAATCTTGGGAAAGAGCATGGTACATATATGGGAGAAGTGGTGCAAGAATACGTTCTGTTTAGCGCTCCGTCATATGTGGACAGTTAATTGGTACAGGTTGGTTTACTGACTATGGAACTTGGTTGGCCTGTTGGTTACTGGAGTCGGTATTCCCCCATGGTGTGCTTTTGGCATTTGTGAGTTCATTCATCTTTTATCTCCATGTCTGGTAACTTGGTCTCTGTGACGGTTTCCTTGCATTTGTTCCATGTTTTCACTTTTGGATATCTCATTGGCATTTGCGGCCTTTTTCTTTTTCTTGGTTGGGGTTTGTATTTACATGCTTGTGAGTGTATGTCTCGGGCTCTTGTTTCCAGCTCATTCGGGAAGGTTTCCGGTGTTACATGTCATCGTTCGGGTCTGGTTGTGAGTTTGGCCAAAGCATGCGATTCTTTAATTTGCGATAGGTATGGGCACCAAAAGGTTTAGTTTCTCTCTTTTTTTCTTCTGTCACCTTGTTTCTTCTTATCTTGGAGCATGGGCATCGGAACATAGGGGGAGCAGGGAAACATAAAAAGAGTTATCGGAGTCTGATCTGCACTTAGGTTATGGTGTGTCATTTTGGATTTTATATTGATTTTGTCTTGTGTTCTGTTTTCATATATTTATTCTCCAATCCATTCGATCCGTCTCTATTATATGCAGGTCTGGTTTTCTAATTGGCATATCTCATGATACGAAGTCACGTCTCCCATACATTTAATCTGAGGTTCCGGTATCAAGTTATAGTAGACACATGGGAATTTTGCTTCTTAATTATACCAAAATCTGGTATGTTGAATTTTCTATCTCTAGTGTATATTCGAGAGAACATAGAGATAGCATTATGTTGGAGAAACAAAGATGAGATAAGAAAACAATAACTTTTAAACAATAGCACACCACACATCAGCGCGATAACCGTTATACGGAGATCATAGAGTGATGAAGAGATATATAGAGCGGAATTAAAGGTCGAATATGAAGAGAAATATAAAATATTCGGCAAAACAAGAGAAAAAAAAAAAAAAAAAAAAAGATAATAAACCCCAAACGCCACCCTAAACCGGACTAGTATGTGACGTGAGAGGATCATTATTGGCCGTGGCAGAATCATGAGTCGTAGAATTAGGATTATGATTAGGCGTGACAGCCTCAGTTTCAATCATTCTCTTCGCAGTGAACAGACCCGATACACCACGTTCCTGGTTCTTACCCAGCCAAGGTTTGCGCGCTTCGCCCAGGACCCGACGACCGAGGAAATAGATCAGCTGACCGACAATGATCAGCACGAAGGCGATCGGATACATGAAGTGAATAGTGTAGTGGAAGACCTTGATGCCGATGATGACGCCCCAGAAGTTCATGGTCAGCATGGAGATGTTGAAGAAAGCAGCGGACGACAAGCGGAAGAGGAGCGGAGCCATGCAGTAGAAAAAGGTCAGGCAGAGGGTGTATCCGGCGAGATAACCACCGACTTGGCTGTTCCAGGTGGCGGTTCTGAACGAGGCACGGTCGAAAATGCCGGCCTGGGCGCCGTTGATGATCATGCCCCAGAAAGCCATCTGGCCCAACACTTCGTAGACGGGTGCTGTGCTGACGAAGTACTCTTCTCCGGTGTTGGCGAGACCGTAGAAAGTTGCGCCTAGGAGGGCGAACAGGTCACCTTTGAGTTGGTTGCCGCTGCTGATATCGCCGCCGTTGGTGCCGGTGATATGGTCGGATGCGATCAGGACGCCCATGCCGCCGATACAGACCAGGATACCCAGGACTTGCGTGATGTGATAGCGAACGCGTAAGAACAGGAACGAGATGATGACGACGACTGCAATGGCCCAGAAATTGATTAACTGGGCACTAAGCATAGTTGTGTATCGGTATGCCAGCACAATGAAATAATTGCCTTCGACGTCGCAAAACGCTAAAATAATATCTAAATCGCAAAGATTCTGATAGTTAGATACAGCTAGTTCCGTGTACAGCAACATGGAGCTTTGCTTACATTTCCAGCCGGTTTTCCACACCATTCGGGCCCAGCCCTTGATGCCGTAACGGTACATGGTGTACGGAGTGAACATGATGTTCAGCAGCACATAATTGAAGAAAGTCTGGAAAGCCGGGATTGAGGTGCCTTCGTCTGAAAGGAGTGTACTGAAAGTACTAGTAGCTGTGTTTGTGATTGCCAAGATCTGTCTGTGGTAAAATGTAAGACACTGGCCGTTAAGACCAAGGTTCGAACTAGGAAAATTCGCAACTTACCCAAGTATCAGAATTATATAAAACTCCTTTGTCGTAAAATATGCCAGGAATCCTTTCTTTTTCTTGTCGATCTGGTCCGCGGGAACCTCCTCCGAAGCAGAGTTTACTTCATGAGCATTTGCACCAACACCCGCCGAAGTATCATCCTTCGGAAATTGGGCAAGCGAGGAGTTATCGCGCGGAGTTGTGGCCGACGCTTGAACGGTGATTTGATCTTTGACGTCCGACATGATGAGACCAGCGGACTGACTGTCCGAGCAGTTTTTGAGAAGGCGAAATTAAACGTTATCTAGAGTGGTTGGTTCTCGCACCATCGAGATAGTGGGGTATGGGTTGATAAGCGTGAATGGGAGCTTTTGAAGACCTAAACGAGCGCAAAACTCCCGGAAGTCGCTCGCCTATGGTCTCTGAATGTTTCAACTCAGAAAAAGTTGTGTAGATAAAGACGAGAGGAGGAGGAGGGAAGAAGAAAAAAAATCTCGTGGGCAAAGGTCCAGACGGCGGAAGAACTGAGCCTATCCTGATTGGGGAATTTTCGCCAGTGGCCCCATCGATTGGACGATATCCGCTCAGGAGACCTCGTGGAAGTCCTGGCCAATCATTGCCACAGCTACCCCACTGTGTAATTAGCTAATTTCAATACGAGTGGATGGGGCGGATCTGTCCGACGCCAGTCCGTCCACTATCCATCCTTGGCGGCCAATCAGCGAATGGGAAGCCCGACAGCATGACGGGGCGGGAGAACAGAGCACACACCTTATATCCTGATGGTGCAAAACGCTCAGACCCCGATAGTTCACTATCAGAGGTACCGGTGTATCACTACTAATCCTGATCGCGATCACTGGTTATGAGCATGTTGCAGAGCTTTATAGGCGAGGAGCTACCTAATATCAGCAAGGGAGAAAGTGCGAAGGCTGTTCTTGCATGGATTAGTCGTTCAATCCCGTATACCATTGTTCAACGTACGATAGGCATCATCGTAGATCACTTGCCCACAAGGAAGTCAAAACATATGCTTCACCGTTCATTGTCGCTGGACATCAAGGGAACCTAGTTCATAAGATAAAAGCAACGTGCTATGATCTCATTCTGTCATGCTCACATGACCTTTTGTTGATGCCTCAGGCCATAATAATAGACTTTAAATTAAGGTGGCAATGACCTCATCGACTACAGTCCCGCTTTTTTCTGGAAAAAGCCACTGAACCGATATGGTCGGAAAGATTTTGAAGTTGATGGAAGGGAGTATGTATTGTTGGCTATTGTCCTGACTATCATTCTGATAGCTCCTGCGGAAATGACAAAACCCTCCCCATCGCCGCTTTTTTTCCCCATTCCTTAGTAGTTGTTAAGTTGGGAGGAGGCTCGTGCTGAGAAGACTTAATGTCACATTCATTAGCAGGGAACATCTCGGTAGGGAAAGAGATGCTTGACATGGTGATCGGGTGATGAGTATTGGCCATGACAGAGACGGTACTAGTAGTAGATGCCTAGTGCATGCATAGATGTAAGCCACACGATCAACGATAAGCATCCATGGATACAACTACTATATGCAACGTGAGATAATATGTTTCAAAATACCTTGTTCAGACAATTCAGTTCTTCGTGCTGAAAACCCCGATTGGGACTTCGAGTTGCATTCAACCTCGAAGGTCCCATTGAGGTTCCATGGGTAAAGCGGGGGGGGGGAAGGATTTGGGTTGGGGAAGTTTCCGAAAAGAGAGACCTACCTAACTAGGAGGAGTCCCTGCTATTCTTAGCTGACAAGTAGAGTTCTATATAAGGCAGAACGGGAATAGCCCTTAATCAACATGGCCTAGACCTTTTGCACTCTATTTATCCACCCCTGAACATTGTCTGACAGTATATACATACATACACATAAGTACATCTTAATTATGCACAATATAATGATGTTCAATCCTGTTGGGACTAACATATATAATGCATAACTATAATTAATTGAGGGACCATTACTGTTGCGAATCATAAGCCAAATGTACTGCACTATCAACATACACACATACATGAATCATGGAGATCGCCCTCTTTAATTTCCCCCCAGAGGAGTATGCCTCATGTTTCTGCTTACCTTATTTCTAATGGTTTGTTTTGACACCTTTTCCGAGATGATTTCTATTCTAAGGTTGTGTGAAAACCGCGGGTGCACGTCATTCCATCCACTCATTGCCTTGCAGATCCCCGTAGTTTGCCGGCTTCTCTCCTTTCTCGAAACCACTCTCTTCGATCAGTGCTTCAAACTATCCTCCTTTCGCCTTGAATCGGAGACCCCCCAGATACACTTAGCTCTTTCTTATCTTATTTACTGGTTACTTTTTTTTTTTATTGTTGATTATTTGTAGAAAGTAGATCTTCCGGAGATTTTCAAGAGTCTCGACACTGAACCCCACACCCGATCAGGCAAGGGTTGGGTACCTTAAATCATTTACAGCAGTTTCAGCTCTTTTGGTGTTCGTCCCTTTTCGGTCGCGTGTGCTGGTTTTGGTTTTCCATTGTTGCGCGCCGCCAACCCCAAAAGCCTTTAAAAAAGGGAAAAGAAAAAAAGAAAAAAGAAAAAAAAAAAAAATAGTGGCCGACCGCTACCGAGGCCGTCAGGTGGTCCCGACCCAAACTCAGGATCATCATTCATCATCCGCAGCAAAAGCAGCAAAGTGTGCCATCCCCGTTATCACCTGTGACCTGTTCGTCTTTCCGATCCGTCCATCTTTTTCATCATCTCCATCACAATTCTTTCCACCCCCCATCATACTTCTTCCATTTAATCCCGACCGCAACCCCTCGTCCAATCCGGACAAGGCAGCGGCTCACTCTTACCTCTCCCGCAACTTCGGGCCTCTCTGCGCGCCGGTGCACTCGTTCCTGAGTTGTCCCGGAGTGACGAGACGCCACCTCCCCCCTGTTGCCAGATCATGGCGTTGGAGGTGCAACCGCCCAGCGATCGCAAACGAGTCAAGGTCTACGAACTGAGAGATAACGACTGGTTTGATAGAGGTACTGGGTTTTGTACTGGGGAGTTCCTGGACGTAAGTTTCATCGCATGGGGGATCGTCCGTCCAGCGCGACATCGGTCGTCGGGCGCAAACGCTACGGATCGCGCTTTCTCAAACATTCATTCCGGTCGCTGACATCCCCACTCTATCTTCCTGCAGGATGAACCGCGAATATTTGTCCAATCTGAAGATGAACCCGAACGAGTACTTTTGGAGACAAAAATCTCCAAAGATGATGGGTACCAGAAACAGCAAGGTTCCATTCTCCCATCGTCCTCCGCACCGCAAACTTAAATAGGGAAGATACTAACACTCGTGCGACACTACTAGAGACCTTGATAGTATGGACGGAGCCCAATGGGACGGACATGGCATTGAGCTTCCAGGAACCTGATGGTTGCGCCGTGATTTGGTAGGGCATCGCTCGGACATTGTGACTCAGTGTCCTTTTCTCTTGGCTGACAACAATCGCGAAAGGAATTTTGTCAATGGCGTTCAGCAACATCTTACGAACCTGGCACCAGCAGGTAGACACCCGGCGTTCCTATTTTGTCTGCCATTGGCAGATTGGTTGACTCTCGTTACTGACATGGGGCTCTCCCCTAGACGATGCATTTTCCGACGATCTCGAAACCTATCAGTCGATAATGCTACCCGCTCCCGAGCTCGGAAACCTCCCCGAAATTGACCATGTTATGAGAGCAGCCAGCATGACACAAGCCGGCCGAGATGCATTGTCGAAGTTTGTTATCCGGGAAGAGTACATAACAAAGCTCATACCATTAGTCACGAGGGCAGAAGGTCTCGAGAACCTGCTGGACCTACACCGTCTCTGCAATATCATGAAATCCCTCATCCTCCTTAATGACAATACCATTATCGAGACCGTCGTTACAGATCCTATTATTCTGGGAGTTGTGGGGGCGCTGGAATGTACGTGATATGGGGTTTGTTGTGTCATAGTGTGATTGCTAATGAGATCTTAGACGACCCTGAGTTTCCTACACACAAAGCCAACCATCGGCAATACCTTGCAGACCAGTCACGCTACAAAGAGGTGGTCCCGATTAAAGATGCCCTCATCCGTCGCAAAATCCGATACACCTGGCGTTTGCAATATCTAAAGGATGTGGTCTTGGCCCGGATATTAGACGACCCGACTTTCTCAGTTCTCAATTCGTTGATATTTTTCAACCAGGTCGAAATCGTAAACCATATCCAATCAAACGGTCCTTTCCTGAAGGAATTATTTTCGGTGTTCGATCCGAGGAATACCGATGCAAAGCGCAAGGAGGATGCAGTGCAGTTCCTCCACCAATGCGCATCCATTGCCAAAAACCTGCAAGCACCGGCGCGCGCCAATCTCTTCGCAAACTTCATCAGTCATGGCCTCTTCGCTGTGATCGCCTTCGCTATAAAGCACCCTAACCCCGCTATGCGCACGACGGGAATTGATATTCTAGTTGCACTGCTTGACCATGATCCTCTCATGATGCGGGGATATATGCTTAAGGCCGTGAATGAGAAGAAGACGCCGCTGACTGATACGTTGATTGATTTGCTTCACTTGGAGTCGGATCTCGGTGTTAAGAATCAACTCGCAGATGCAATCAAGGTTCTACTGGACCCCCAGATACTTTTGCAGGACACGATGGGTCGGGCTGGACCCGAACAGTACTCGAAGCCACGTCCCAATATCCTCTCTGATGCTTTTGTTCAAAACCACTTTGATGAATCTGCTAAGAGGCTATTCATGCCGTTAAAACGCCTCGAGAACCGCGCCAGCCGTAAGTATTGTTGGTCTACATTAGCCTGAGTCTGCTCACGCGGCTAATTCTCTTCACTTCTTTAGTTAGCGACCTCAAGTTTCAAGAGGTGGCCTTGCATGCTCATCTTGTTGATATCCTTACTTTCTTTGTCCGTCAGCATCTGTACAGAAGTCGTGCTGTCATCCATAATGAAGCACTCGCTCCCAGAGTTGCTCAGTTACTTACAGTGCCCCAGAAGCACCTCAAGCTGAGTAAGTTGACTCATTCGAAGTCGCATATAGAGACTAGTGTCTAACTGTTTACTTTCGGGATAGTCGCGTTGAAGTTTTTCCGTACATTAATTAGCCTCCAAGACACGTTTTACCAAGCTTTGATGACCCATAACAACACGTTTGGTTTGATTCTTGACATTGTATATGAAACAATGCCACGTGATAACCTCCTTAATTCAGCTTGCCTTGAACTCTTCGAATTCATCAAACGAGAAAATATCAAACCCATAGTTCTGCACGTCGTGGAGAAGTACGGTGAAAAGCTCAAGAATATTACCTATGTCAACACATTCCAGGACTTGATTCTACGCTACGAGCAAATGCAGGGCTATGGTACAGAAGCGGAGTCCACTCTCTACTCTCAAGATGAAAGTACACCAGCTCGTCGAGTCCCGCCCAACGGACAACGTTGGCAGGGTGTTAGGGAGATGGATGCGGCAGAGGAAGAGTATTTCAACACGTCTGATGATGAGGAAGAGGTAAGACAATTGATATCCGTCTTCAATGAATATCAGTCAGCATACTGATTTTTTTGCTAGTGGCAACATGAAACTGTGGCCAGTGCAACAATGGCTCCTCAGATGCAGAACGGTTCCGCCTCACCAGTCGTTAAGCCCCTAGTCGACTATCCAGATGACGATGAGGATGATGATGCTATGGATACAAAGCCGGAGGGTAGTGAAGAGCAGAAGCAGCAACAGTCGGTACGACAAGAGGGTACCCCAACCCCTGACGCGGCTACCGAGTCTAGCGCAAACGCACCGTCGACTCCGGTTTCATCCACCGTGCAGACACCTCCGGAGCGTTTGTCAGAGAAGCGCCGGCGTGAGGAGGAGGACGATGATGAGCTGGTTAAGCTCAGCTCTGGGCCGAAACGAAGGAGCTCGACCAGTGGCAGTCCTGGAGGGGCTGGTATGCTGCGAAAGAAGAGAAGCGTGTCAATTGGATCGCTATCAGCTGCTGCTGAAAAAGGAACAACGCAGAGTATCCTGGGAACCGTGACTGGCAGCACAGCACCAAAAAGGATAGCCATCAATCTTAGCTCTAAGCCATCGCCAGAGACGGACTCTACTGATTCTGCGGCAAGTACTCCAAGCAGTGAGAAAGAAAACCGTGGCGGGAACCACGGTGAAAGTGGTTAACAATTCTCCCGAGATAATTCTCCTGCCATTCATGGATTTGGTCGCATGAGTGGACTTCCCCGCAAGCATCATTCTCGTTTGTCCGAGTACTTGGAGTTCTATCTGCATTTCCCGCAAACCTCCTAGATACCAGATGAAGTAATGATTTCGTCTTTTTCATTTCTTCATTTTCCCTTTTACTGATTCACAGCATATCTTTGTACGATTCCCTCATCATTAGCTATACATCTTCGTGCTTTTCTTTTGGCATTCTTAGATATCATGTATTAGGTTTCTAGTTGCTCTGAAGCCTGCGATTTCTGTCTTATTCTTACCTTCTCATCGTCGAAATTTTGGCCTGGTGTACAGCTACCATGTCTTGTCTGTTTCTTTTCCCAATTTTTCTTGTTTTACTTTGAGTGTCCTTCCTTTAAGCACCTCATGGGTCATTTGCACTGTCAATGCGTGGCGAAAAACAAAACAAAATGGATATGCAATCAGAAACGAGGAAGTAGCGCGCATGCTGCCAGCCTCTTGCGTCTGATGGTCGGTGTTGTTCCACCTGGGTCTTTGGCATAACTGGAGCTTTCTGTATTGTTCTTCGGTCTATCTATGGGGTTTAAGGAGCTCTGGTTGATAGGGATGGAGTCTGGCTGGATGCGATGAATTGCGATGAATCACACTGTGCGTATGTCTGCATTTCAGAGGTTCTGGTATGGAGGATCTCGTTTCTTTCTGTTCCTTATTGTGATTGGGAATGTTTGATGGAGCGGGGTGTCGAGAGAGTTGATATTTGCGTTCTTCTGAGGAGATATTGGTGCACATACTTGTCGGCACAGTAACTCGCTACCTTCACAACGAACCGCGTCTTTGAACTATTGTCGAGAACAACATACCGTATCTGAATGTCCTAAAACTTTTTAATAAGAGTGTTAGTATAATTTGTATGTAAGTCGATGTAAATCGGTGCCGAGGCATAACGGGAACTCCGATTTCTCCGATCCAATTTTGTCGAATTCCATACCCTTTGTACATATGAATCCCACCCATGTACCACCTCAGGTACGCCAATTCGACACGTATAGGGTATAAATATATATTAAAATCATCTGCCATAAGGCGCAAGTGCATGAGCACCATGTCTTCCACCCGACAACCCCACATTTCCGCAGACAGCTTCTTCCACACATCGTCCGCATCCGACCCATCACTGTCCCCCATCACCATCTACATGATATCCGGCAATCCAGGCCTAATTGGGTACTACCACACATTTCTCTCCACTCTCTCAGACAAGCTAAACACACAATCCACGCAACAAACAAGAAAAAACCATGCCTTCCAAATCTACGGACACAGCCTGGGAGGATTCGAGCTTACCAAAACACCAGGCTCGGAACCAAGGTACTACGACTTGGAAGAACAGATCTGTTTCGTCCAAAACAAGCTGGATGATTTCCTCACTAGCTGCAGCAATGCATCGAACGGGGTCCCAATACCAAGACCCAAAGTGATCCTCATCGGCCATTCGGTGGGTAGCTATATTGCCATGGAGATCCTCCGGAGACACCGCGAGCGCTCGACGAGTAGCGCCTCGCCCTCTGTTGATTTCGATATCATCGGCGGCGTTATGCTGTTTCCTACTGTTGTCGATATTGCGAAATCGCCCTCCGGCCAGAAATTGACGGTGAGTATACATTGTCTATTTTCTTTTGATTGGTTGTGGGAAACACATGGGCTAATCGGATGGATTGCAGCGCATGCTATCTTTTATCCCGCAGTTGGCTGTCGTAGTGGGCTTCTTGGTCCGCATCCTGACAGCCCTTCTCCCGGGTAGTCTTCTACGATCTCTGGTTAGGTCTTATATGGGATCGCCGCAGGATAATATGGTCGAGACTACGGCTGCTTTTTTGGAGTGTGGCTATGGTGTGCAGCAAGCTTTGTATGTTACTCTAATTTTTTTTAGCGGTGTCCCGAACAGATTTGAAGAGTATTCTAACTGGGGTTTTAAGACACATGGCTGCTGATGAGATGCAAACCATCACGTCGGATAAATGGAGCGATGATGTTTGGGGCATGTCTAACGTGAAGGATCCAGTTACGCGATTGTTTTTCTACTTTGGTCGGAATGATCATTGGGTTGCGGAGCGGACGAGAGATGAGGTTATAGAATTGAGGGGACGGACGGAGGGTGGTCCGAAGATGGTGGTTTGTGAGGAGGGTCTGCCACATGCTTTTGTTTTGAGTGAGTACTTTCACCCTGTCTCCCTTTTGGAAGTGTTGGGGGTGCAGTTTGCTGATGTGGATGGCTTGTAGAATATAGTGATGTTGTGGCGAAGAAAGTGGCCGGTATGGTGTTGGATATAGTAAAGGATTGAATGAACTTGGAGGGGTGGTTTGTTGGTTTGTTGGTGGTGATTCTATGTCTGGGTACTTATAGACTTTGTTGTTTGGATTTCATAAGAGTAGTTAGACTGGATATTCTTCTTTGTATCACCTTGTTCTAATTCATATATAATGCATGGTTGTCCGTTTTCCCATTGGAGGTAAACTGCGCTCATTGTGCAAATATCATGGGTATCGCAAGTGTCATGACATTAGGCCTCTAACAGACATCTTTCGGATAATAGCGGGGGTTCCTCGATCAGGGACCCCCCTGGTACGCTAACCCAGCTCTCCTAAATAGATCGCCCAGTACGTCTTGTTGCGGCTGCGGCTGCGGCTGGGCTATCGGAACACTCATCCCAGATTGGTGCCATCCCTGGGGACTAACATGGTGCGCTGTTGTACTCCAACCATCATCCTGGGCCCTTTGTTGCCCAAATAGATCCCTTAAAGAAACCTGGCGACCCATGGCAACACTTGATTGCACCTCATCCACAGGGTCAGCGGTAGAAGCCGCAGCCGCAGCTGCAGCGTGCAGGCCATTCTGGCGAGTAGCTTCCAGTCGCTCGCGAGCCAGCTTCAAACTTTGACCTGCATGTATGGCGCATTCCCGAATCACCTGAGCATTGATACTGCGCGTTTCGGCTGTAGAGTTGGGAGGCGGTTCTGAATAAATCCAAAGACCGTATATGCGGAGATCGGCGCTTTTCCCATTCGTGCTGTTATTATTATCCACACCCAACCCGGAGTCTTCATCAACCTTAAGGATCACATATTCCTCTGTAATTTCCACATTATCCCCTTCCGTCAGGGGAACATCGAAATTCTGCAGACCCCGCCGATTCAGTACGAAAACGTTATATCGTTCTTCGCCTAGAGACCCTTGCGACAATTGACAAACAAACAGTGAGCCTTCCACTCCGCTCTTTTCCCACTGCCGTGTGGTTGGGCTGAATATGTAGATGACGGCATAAGGCGCTAAGGAGAGAATCGACGTTATGGCGGGGTTGTGACGGCGGAGGACGGAGATGTTTAGCTCTTCGTTGGAACGGACTGGGGGAGGTGGCATGCTAATTTCTTGCTGTTGGGTATCTGAGAAATAATTCTGGTAGTCTGAATCGTAGTCCGAGGGTTGAGGCTGATTGTGTCGGTGATTGTTGTTTTGTCGTCGGGGCCTGCGTGTTGTCATTGTGAAGTGGAGGGAAGAAAAAGAGGAAATAAATATGGGCTGTTTTTGGCAAAGATGACGAGGGACAATGGCGGTATTTATCTAACGGGAGTGAATTAATCAGAGAATGAACAATAGCGACAAGTGTTGTTATGGAGGAATGAGCAAAAGGCGTAAATAAGCTCAGGTGATGGATTTATTAAATGGAGAAGCTCCGTTCTGGGAAGCGGTCGGCAGCCCCACGGACATTCGTCAGAGCGAAAGCACAGCTCATGATGATCCACAACCACTCCTGCTTCCTCCTGATCCTTTCAGTCCAGTTCAATCATTAGGTTCAATGTTTGTCTAATTCTGCGTCTACCGCCCATTCTTTCGCTTCGAGGATACCTCGGTGTTATCTGACTCGACCAACTCGGCACTATCCTCTTATCGTTGTCGTCATTCATTCGTATCGGCTCATACCTATCCTACCGCGGGCTAAACCCACCCCTCTTGATCTCTCTTATACTTCCCGCCAACGAGCGCGTGATAATCGGACAGGTACTTGGCATTTAACTGGCTCAAACTACGATTGATATACCGTCGCAATGACCCTCTGATCGCCACGCCTCGTTCCAATTGGTCATTAACCTTTTCGTATTGCCTGCTGTTGAAGAGCTGCCAACCCGCAAGGTGAACGCTCAATTTAGCAAATTACCGAGGGCCATCGGACCTCTATAGAATTCTCTGCTGCAGGCGATGAGCAAATCCTCCCTTATAACCGATCCTAGTGTTTCTATTCAGCATGGTGTCAGAAAGCGAACAGCGCGCGTCGCAGTCTCCGGTCGGTACCGGCGCAGGTGACTCGCACTCTGACGGATCGTCCCCGGATACCTCCCTCGACCCCTCATCGCTCCCACAGGCCGTTAAAGCGAGGAAATCTGAGTATACAACTCAACAGTCTATTCGTGTCAAAGTCGGAACGTGGAATGTGGCTGCCATTCCAGGTACGGAGGGAGATATTGGAAAGTGGTTTGTACAGCGGGAGGGGATATGCGAACAGCTCGCCGGGTTACGAGTCTCCGGCCTAGAAGAAACTCCTAGTAAAACGAGTGATGGTTCCCCGAATGAGACTGGATCCGAATCTGACCAAGTGGGACTCTATGTCCTTGGGTTACAAGAGATCGTGGATATCTCTTCCCCGGCGGAGGCCTTGAGGCCCTACGTTGATCCAGCGCCGGCAAATAGGTGGAAAGCTGCGATGCAGAATGCTTTACCCTCGGGCTACCAACTGGTTGCAGAGTCGCAGCTAGTGGGGCTGTTACTGTTGATTTACGCCTCTCCTTCTGTTGCTGAGACTGTATCGTCGGTCAGCTGTACCAATGTGGGTACCGGCCTGTTCGGGTACATGGGTAACAAAGGCGCTGCAGTAACGCGCCTGATGCTGGGTGAGGCTACGTGTTTTGTCTTCGTCAACTGTCACTTGGCAGCTGGGTCGGATAAAAACAGCCTGGAACGACGGAACTGGGACGCCTCCCAGATTCTCCAACGCGCAAAGTTTGACCCGATCGATACTGAAAGTGCACTTAGGGATGAGCCGACCGAGAGTATTGGCAAAGAAGATTTTGCTTTCTGGTTTGGTGATCTTAATTATAGACTAGAGGATATACCTGGAGATGATGTGCGACAGGTCCTTGCTCGACATACAGAGAACGAGTACGATAAAACGCACAACTCAACCCATGTGGCCGATGAAGACGATTCAGAGGAATCACCAAAACGGGTGAACGAGACAAGTAGAGCTCCTCCGCCCGTTTCCGATGAGGACGTGGACCCTCACACAGACCCAGCCTCTTTGCAAACTACCATATCGTCTTTACTTCCGCATGATCAGCTTCGCCTGCAACAAACCAAACAGAAGGCGTTCCACGAAGGATGGAGGGAAGGTAGCATATCATTTCTGCCAACATACAAGTACGATGTAGGAAGCGTCGCCAAGTTTGACTCCAGCGAAAAGCAACGGGGCCCTAGTTGGTGCGATAGGATTTTGTATCGAACACGGCGGGATATGTTAAGACATGAACAATTAGTCAAGCAAGCAGCTGAAGCCAGGAAACGGGACGAAGAAATGAAAGCTAGGGGACTAGACAAGGCTGCAGCAGATGACAACGTTCTATTCGACTATGACCCTGATGTTGATGGTGCAGACAGTGCAGACGAATACGACCCGGACAAAGATGACGCGAGTGACGGTGCTTCGTTCAATTCGCAGAGTGATCCGGACCAATCACTTAGGCTTGACTATTATATCTCGCATCAAGGAATCCTCTCATCTGACCACAAGCCCTTAGCAGCCGGCTTCACTATAACGTATGAGTCGGTTGACCCTCAATTAAAGGCCAAGATTCACCAGGAAGTGGTCCGAGAGCTGGATAAGGCTGAAAACGAGTCTCGACCGGGTTTGACGGTTGTGGTAGACAGCCACGGTCATGAGCCCAGTAAAGACATGACGAAGGATCCAAATGCGCTTGATTTTGGTAACGTACCTTTTGATGTATCCGTCACTCGATCCTTGACAGTTGCGAACACTAGCGGCGTGCCTGCAACATTCTCATTCGAAAAGCCAGAACAAGGAGAAGGTTGTCATTATCACCCGTCTTGGCTTGAATATCAGATCGAGCCACCGCACCGTGACAATCCGGAAGATCAAGTATCTACTTTACCTTTGCAGGAGTGCACATTGCTGCCTGGAGAACTCACCAATATTGAAGTTACTGCATGTGTTAAAGATATACAGCTTGCACGTTTGCTCAATGACGGAAAGTTGAAGCTAGAGGAAGTTTTGGTCCTTCGGGTGACCAACGGCCGAGATCATTTCATCCCTGTATATGGGGAGTGGTTGCCCACCTGCTTTGGCCGCAGCTTGGAAGAACTTACCGTCATGCCTGAAGCGGGCGCACGAACATTACCAGCTACAGAAATAATGAGTCGCCAGAAGGACGAAGTAGGAATTCCCTTGTCAGCCCCACGGGAGCTTTTCCGCTTGACGGAATCGATATCAGAGTTGTCCGAACGTGCTATTGCCGAATGGAGCATGATCAGAGGCGAGTCCGAAGACTCGCCACCGTGGGTTAGAGAGCCACATGGGTTTGGATGGCCTTTCGAACCAGAGTCTTGGACTCTGACGGACAAAGATGAGCGCTCTTCCCTTCTGGCATCTGCCCGGGAAGCCTTGGATACCAATAAGCCCTTCAACCATGTCATTCCACCCGAAGTGTCTTCGCTTCACCGTCTGGAGATCTTAAGCGAGACCTTACTGGTATTCCTCAGATCTTTGAAGGATGGGATAGTCACTGCGCCAGTTTGGTCCGATCTAGACCAACAAATTCTCGCTCGCGAAAAGACTAAAGCACCGCCTTTATCCTGGGAAGAATCCCAAGCCTGGGTCCTAGAGAGCCTAACATATTCCCCCGCGCACAGCGTCTCCTTCACTTTCGTCACCTTCATGCTTGCTCGCATCGCCAACGAAGTCGCCCCAGTAACATCTATGCCCCTGCGACAATCCTCCGAAAAGCCGTCCGATGAACAAGCCAACCCCAACAAACAACCCACCACACCAACCGCAACAGCTGCCGCTGCCGCAGTCGCTGCCGCAGGCAATCTCCGACGGCGAACCCTCACCTTCACCTCAAACATGCCAGAACCTACCACCAATCCCCTCGCCATCCGCCGACAAGCTGTCGAAACCGCCCTCGCGGGTATATTCTCCAGTGTCCTTATCTCCGCAGACGTCCCTGTCCCAGCAAAGGATAACCAACGGCGAGCACAGGAGGACCGGAAACGAAGTATAATTGAGCCATTCTTGAAGACCATCGGGGTTGACAATAAAGGTCCCTCCGGTGGTTGGTCTTGAGCTCTTACACAATGCTTGTCCCGTATATATGCGCCCAGATTTGCGTTTCCCTTTCTCCTCGATGATCTCGGATGTTTTATATTACCTATAGATTCGAGCTGGGTTCTGTATGTATTATGTTGTATATATATTCTTCATTCATTGGTTTTTAGGTTATTCGACGGTAACTACTGGAGACATCGTGACGATGTGGGCACAAAACGTGTTTCGATGTTTGATAGTATAAGCTTTTTCTTTTCGCAAGTTGGCGAGTATAGTACTTATTGTCCGTAGGCACTGTATACTTGGCGATGCTGTATGCTATATAGCTATACACTTCTAAATACTACCTAAATTTAAAGAAAGTGACTGAGAGCAATACAAAGCAATGCTTGATTAGAGTATCCCGTCCTTCCCCATCCAACCATATTGGAATCAATTTGGACAGAAATACTCACGCTGTAGCAATCGACAAAGAAGTAGAGACCATTTTCGGATACCAGTCGTTCTACAATTACTCCCAGCACTCTCGCAAAAAAGTATACTATAATCATATCGCGACGTATAACCGGTCATGTATATTCGCGAATGGACTTTAGTCCTTTCGCCTCGGCTGGGTCTTGCTGGGGTACTCGCCTTGAGCGTTTCGGAGATTGTGCTTTACGGTCCTGCGGCATCTTGCCTTTCGCGGGTTTTGGTTGTGGGTGTGGTTTCGAAAAGAGCATATCTTGGATAAACCGCAGACACCGTCTCGCGACGTGGAATGGCAGTACAGCCAAGGACATGAAAACCTGAGCAGGAAGCATAGCGAGCGTATAAAGCCACTCGAGGAGCACAAACACAGAATTCCTCGGTTTCCGTATACTGGAACGCTGCGCAGCAGCAGCTAGAGAAATGGCATCCCGGACCTGACCCTCTAGCGCATCGAGTCTAGAGTCCGTCTGGAAGGAAGTCATCGTGGTACGTTTCTCGTAGCGTCTCACAGCGCGGTTCAGGGCATCGATATCCGGTTGGACCGATTTCCGGACTTCTGCTGTGGTTTGTGAGACGATGGAGTCTTGCGCTTGGGGCTGGGACTGTTGTTCCTGGCTGGAGGCGAGGCGCGCCGCGGCTGTTTCTGCTACGTGGGCTTCGAGCTCTTCTAGTCTTTTGGAGAGGTCCATGATCTTGCTGGCATCTATTCTGTCTTTAGGGGCTTCGGTGGATGATGCGACGACGCGCTGGAGATGGAGCGTGCGCGCTTGGACCATTCGTAGCAGGTGGGCGAAGGGTCTGATCTCTGATGCTAGGAGGAATATGGTTAGGTTG